ATTACTTTAGACGTAGAAAAGAGTTTAAAAGGGAAAACAACCTTAGCATAAAAATAACATTACCAACAGATCAAGTTTTTAAAAAGTTTTATCCTCTCAGTCTTTTTTTTTTTTTCTCAATGCAGACAATGTATTTATTTTCTTAACTTTATTAAGAATTCATATACTGTCCCTATAACTATATAGGAGGCTATGCTGTTCTTTGTTTTGCTTTTGCAGAGAACCAAGGAGGCTAATTTGTTTTTAACACATAAAAAAAACTCACACGTCCTGTAGGTCATTTCATAACCCCAAGGAAAAATGTCTCCTTTAGTGTCTCAAGACTAAAGAATAGAATGATTCCTATTTCCAGATTTCATTTAATATTAATGCATAAATACTATTCAAATAATTTTTTCTGTAAATAATATTCTCACAAGTTTTAACAAGTATTTCCTAACATCTTTCATTAATCTTATTTCACAATCTGCAACACTGAATACAATCTAAGGAATAGAGATTCCCCAACCTTCAGAATTTTAATGAAGACACAACTCTTTAGACTGAGCTTCCAAAAATCAAATATTTTTGATCATCAAAGCCAAAGAACTCATAAGCAGTCTTATTTGGACCACAGTGTTTTCTGCTAGGATCCTCCACAGACGTTTTAATTATTTCCTTTGTTTCCAGTAGTAATTGCACTCCTCCTGCTGGACAAATAGAAGCAATAACCACAAGCTATCCTTCTGACAGTACACCAATTAAAAGATCCAAGAATACGATGTAAAACCTGAAGATAAACCATTTTCTTTCTGTTGAAACAGCTTCCTCTATTAGCTTTAAAGCTATCACCTTTACCTTACATTTTTTTTTTTTTTTTAATTTAAAATGTCCATGTTTCTCTTTGCCTTTAAAGTTCAAAATGCATTATTTTCACCTGGGAATAAATGCCAGCAAGCAAACACTGATAATATTTTACTCATGAATTAATCAGTACTATGATAAAATGATTATACCACAAATTATTAAAAGTGGTTTTAATTCCACAGCATCTGTATTTTGTTCTATTTAATATTTAAAAAATAAAAATTAAGAGAGAGGAAGGCACACAGCCAAAAAAAAAAAATCACAAGTGTTTTTAATGAGCAGGAAGGCTAATTCCAGATGGCTGTGTGGAAAAAAATATCCAGGTTTTTGAATCGGTGCTAAACAAACTAGCCTGTCAGCTTAGAAAAATGCAAGCTCTCGGACAAAGCCAAAATTTCTACAACAAACAGTATGACCACGAAAGGTGGAATATACTGCAGTCTCTAAAACACTGTAGTGCTTCAAGCTTAATTAATATCTGAAAACTGAAAGAACTTTGCAAGACAACTGACTAAAAGCCTACTTATAACCAAATTTTCACACTGTTCATCTGATATAAAAAAAAAACACAATTCGGACAAACAATTCTGTGGCTTAAAATTTTATGACAAAACAACCTTAGCTGCACTTGGAATAATGAGCCCAGTGGGGCTCTGGTGTCATATTCCAGGCAGAAATACTGACTAGACTCCCCAGCAAATAATTCTTCGTTTTCTAAATTTCAGGGAGTGCCCCCAGTTCTCCATGTGAAAAACTAAGAAAGCTGATTAATATTAAGAGTAATATCAGTCTTAACAAAGATCTGAAAAGATCAGACCTGCTTTGTCTACCAAATTTTTCTACTATATTTGTATGTGATACACAGTAACACAGATCCCATTTTTCAAAAGCAAGAGCGTCATATGAAGTGTCCATACATGCATGAGCCAAAAACAACAAAACTGAAACAAAACAAAACCACTGTGGTGTGGGTTTTTTGCCCCATGACTCTAAGTCTAGGCAGTCAATAACATAGGAACCAGATTCATTATTTAGGTTACTATATACTATGTAATATATAGATATACAGTATATAATATATTAAAACTATATTTGTCTCTAAAAGATTTGAAATCTGCCTAATTTTAAGAACAAACTTCAACATGCATTCATTTCTAAAACCATTTACTATTATTAGCACGCACAGGCTGTAAATGGACTGAAGCAAATATGATCTTCTGTTTCCTCTCTTGCATACACCACCTCCAAGTAAGGAATTTGGTTCCCTTCCAAACTACTTTTAAAAAATAATGCTGACAGAACTTGGGCTCATGATCTAAAGACAGTGAAATTGCTTAAAAGTTGTAACATTCAGGATACTCTCTCAATAAAAAGGGATTTTTTTTACTATTAGAGAAGTACTGTATATGCCATACAAAGAAAAAAAACAGTCTTTACAGTAACACTGCAATGCCCATTCCAGTATTCACATCTAAGTCATTACAAGCTGTCTGCACTTGGAACCAGAAAATTCTGTGCATGGGAAGACAAGAGGCAGTTTATGATTCATCTTGTCCTGAGATGTGATAAGTTAGCTTATTTTACTAAATACAAAGCAGCTTACAAAGCTATTGAAATTAAAAGCAAAGGCATTTACATTTGATCACCTCTCAAAAATATTAAGATTCCAAAATCTGAAAATACAACACATCTACCTAGAATTTTACACAGATGACAGACTTTTTATCACTAATAAAGAAATACTGGAATTTTGCATCCTTATTATCTTAACTGTAGCTAAAAAAAAATTGAAATGGCTCCTTCAAATCATGCTTTTATAGCAAGGTGAACATAAAAAGCCCATTAACAGACAACAGACTGGAAAGAACGACAAAAATGTGAGCATTCTTTGATTTAACACAGACAAGCATACTGGTTTGGGGTACGGCAGGCTTAGTTTTCTTCATTGCTGCTCATACAGTGCAATGTTTTGAATCTGCAGCCAAAACAGTACTGATAACACTGATATTTTCTATCTGTTGCTGAGCAGTGCTTACAGAGTCAAGGCCTTTTGCATTCTTCATGATGCCCATTCCAGCAGTTAGTGTAGGAGCTTATGAAAAGATAGGATACAGCCAGGACATCTGACCTCAACTGATCAAAGGGGTATCATGTACCATGTGACATGATGCTCAATAGTAAAAGCTAGAGGAAACAAGAAAGAGGGAGGGATATTTGGAGTGATGGTGTTTGTCTTCCGAAGTGACCTCAGCAACTGTTGGAGCCTTGCTTTCCTGGAAATGGCTAAATATCTGTCTGAACATCTATTTGTCAATGGGATGAAAGAGTTCTTGTGCTTTGCTTGCACAGACAACTCTTGCTTTGCCTATTAAACAGTCTTTCAGTCAGTGAGTTTTCACACTCTTACCCTTACAATTCTCTTCTCTAGGTCACTGGGACTACGTGAGCAAGCTGCTGTGAAGGCTTAGCTGCTACCCTTAGCAGTACTACACCCTCTAGACATTACTCTGTAGTCTGCCTTAGATGAAAGGGTACTGTCTATGTAAAGATGATCCATGCAGCCAGCAAATTCTGATTCCCATGTTACTAGAGACCTCTGACTCATTTAAAAGGAAATATTCATGTAGATTAAAAAAATAAAATAGAAAATATCTTGCAAATGAAGATGACCTCTTTTTAGTGAGGTACAAAAATCCTCAATTCTGGTAAATTTGATATAATATGAAGCTGGTATCTATGAACTTCACATTAACATTTCTATGAATTCTGGATGATCCAAAAAATGCATTCTTTTCACATCTTTTATCTCTCCTTTGAAACATCATGTTCATGTATGCTTTTCTGGGAGCACTGCAGAACGACAAGAGAGTAAAGAAGGATCTCAGGATGATGATGATGATCTCAGAATGATGTCCCATCATTCCCTTCCAGAAACAGTATTTTTCAGAAAGCTTAGCGCTCTTATTTTACATCATTGAGGATACAAAATAAGGTAAGAAACTTAAGATGTTCAACAAAACAGAAAATGAGACCTGCCTTACTCACATTGTAGAGCTAGCCTACAGCACGTTTCAAAAATAAGTGTAATATTACCAGCAGAGAGAGCAACGGGGTGTCACATCAACACTGAATAAAAAAAAATCTACAGCACTTACAAGAAAACCTCAATAAAATTTAATGTGTGCTACAAATCTTCGGAATGGTTTCTGCATCTTTGTACGTATCTTCTTTTCTAGGTTTTTCTATTTTGTCAGCTTGTGCTTGCATATTTTAGGACAAAGATAAAGCTTATTTCACATTTTAGGGAGAGGTTTTTATGAATTTTTATGAGAAAGCTCTCGTAACTTTTTCTTTTTTTTTTCCCCTCAAAGTAAGGAGTATCAGCTTTGCTATTCTAACACTTACAAGCATTCAGCAAATTTCAGGCCAACCTCTTGAATATTCTGAATGCTACAGGTAGTAAACAAATAAGCACTAGATACAAGCACTTAACAACTTCAGTTCCATAACTGTAGAACATCTTTTCACTCTATTTCAATGTATAATTTAATTTCCTGTGTGTGTGTCCAAAGGCATTCTGCTGAAGACAAGACTTTGAAATATAATAATAGCACACCATCCATGTAAAACAAATCAAATTTAGTTTTCCTTTAGTCCACATGATGTTTTCCAAACAGGACAAAATACTGCTTCCAAACCAATGTGTGCTTTTAACCTTTCAGAATGATCATACATTCTCAATCTTCTAGCAGTATCACAATTTTCCAGTAGGTACTTTGTACAGAAAAAAAACATTCTGATTTACTTTAGAGAAAGTTTTAAAAAAAAAAAAACAAAAAAAAAAAAGGAAAATATCAGTAGTAGCTACATTGCTTTATATAAGCATTCACTAATCACTTCTAATCACTTCTAAAGGAATCTAGCTGTCTCCTTTTCCAGATTTCTAAGAAAACTAATGTTAGGTTTTTAACGCTTCAAAATCATGAACTGTTTTAGAATATATTGTTACTTACCATAATGAATTTGCTTACTTCACAATATACACGTGCGTGTATTTTTTTCACTCTTAATAAGAGAACCAAAAGGGATGTCTAGTAATCAAAATATTACGCTACTAGCCATTAATTCAGCCTGGGGAGAAAAGAAATTCTTACCCAGTTATCTTTTTTCAGAGGCAAAAAGTAGTAGTAATGGCAGAAATCAAGTAGCAGCGTATAGGAACTAAGAATTTGAGTGTAGAAACACAGCTGTAAAAACAGCCAATGATTGTCTTCACCAACACAATTATTAATCCTGCAGAGAAACAAAGTATACACAGATTGAAATATAAAGGCTTGTCAACATTATTTATGAATTAGTCAAGCTACAGAACTACCAATTATGCCTAAGAAAAGTTAAGATGATTTATGGGTCAAATGTAAGGACTACGATACACGATAACTCCATCCTTAATCAAAGCAATTGCCTCCATGTTAGAGATGGCAGTTACTGTAAAGAGGCTACTTGGTTGCTTAAAATCTAAGCTGCCTTACTGAAATTACTGCTTAGATTACAAAACTCACTTCCCTTCATCTTCAAACAGCAACGATACACTCACATTTTCAAGAAATACTCAGGTAACAAGATTAAAATATCTGCAAAACTTCACATTAGTATGCGTTCTCCACTGATAACATTCCACCAGTAGTGAGTGATGTAGTCCAAAAGCTAGAAATGCAATTAAAAATTTGTATTAAATCTGAACACAGGGTACCCCAATGACAAATAAACATGACTAAGAAAAAAATGTAAGACACAGGAGAAGAAGAACAGTTATCCCCATTCAGAAAGTCCTTCTGCAGTTCTTCTGATGTAAAGGAGCAAAAGAATCTCAAGGACTCTAGAAATGTTAACTCAGAGATTCAAACCTTTGAAATCTAGGTCTAGTTTGCTTCATTTCCTTTACAGAAGTTATTATACTGATGCATAAAATTTGGTTAGGGTTAAATTATAACTTCATACAAGCACAGTAGCTCCAGCACAAGCACTGGCACAGACAACAGCACCACACTAAGACATGATGTCAAACACATTACACTGACACTATTGTCTGAGTTGTAAACAGATAATAGGCTAGTTTGAAAAAGGCTACATCAATACAGAATGATCCTGACCTCTATTCTATCTTTTTCATTTTGTCTGTTTCTTTGATGGAAATTATGCCACAGAACCACTGATGGCAAAACTTACTTTCATTTTAAGCAACAATCAGGCTGACTTACTTTAAACAAAGAATCTTAGCCAGGCTGACCATGAGTAATCAAGAATAATGAAAGAAGCAATTTCACTAAAAAATAAGAGAGACCATGACAAATGGGATTTGCTATATGGCAGTAAAGTTTTCTAACCAGCACAGACATTAGGTGAACTAAAAATAAAAAACGGTATAAAAACCATGAAATATTTTCAGTATTACAAAAAACATTCATTTGTGTATTGAAATTGTAATTTTTATTTCCATCCAAGAAATATTAAGTTTAATTTCTTACAAAAAAAAAATTTTCCCAGCACAAGAAACTAAATTGCAACAAATAAACATGCAACATATGATTACACTGGCATCACTGTAACTAAAGGAGTAAAACTTGCAACTTTTAAAATAAAATACACAAACTTCAGAAAATTGTATGATATATAACAATTTGTCAATGATTAAATGTTACATTGCAACAGTAATTTTTCTTAGTTTTACTTGTACACAAAAAGGAAACCCTAAGCTCTTCTTACCATGAACTAAGTGCCTGAATGATTCAGCACTACTGGGAAAGAAAGGGCAAAAATACACAATAATCTAACCACGAATTTTGAAAAAGATAAACTGTAACAGTAGAAGATCATTAGAATAAATGCCCTGGTCTTACCATGGACAGTGGTGATCCATCCTCCTCACACAATGTCCACAACGACTACAATGGTGTGAACGCTTTGGTCTCATCATATTGCATTTGTTACATAATTCCCAAAATTCTCTTTCTAGGGGAAATTGTAAAGACAGCCTTAGAAAGATCTGAAGTCAGTACAGCACACTCATGATAAACACATATCCTAGTGACATGAGGAGGAAAACCAAATTTACTATGAGATGAGTACAATAAGCAGCTTTTTGAACAGAAACATCATGCACTCTCTCTGCTATTCCAAAACCTTGAGGACTCATACTGTTCAAATACAGCCAACTAAAATAAAACACACTATAAACACTTCTGAAGCATCTTCCATCTCAAAGTATCTTAAGAGATGAAGAGATGAATCTCAAGATGAAACGCTAAAACAAACGTAAGATAGGCTTTTATTTAAGAATACACACTAGCATTCTATGCCCCACATGAGATGCACTAAACTGATCGCCAGAAATACCAACCAGCTGAAATTGATAGGAGCAACTATTGGTCAGCTTACCTATTATTTTCCCAAATCCTGTCACTGAAATCAGAGGAAGCCTTTGAAAACATGAAATTTAATGGTGCACTCAGAAAGTTCATCTACACCTGGGAAACAAATGGCACTAACACTGTAATAATTCAATTCAAAAAAATACTGTATTTTCTGTCTTTAAAGGCAGTGGCTGCAAGATTAAGAATCTTAAGTATTTTAAACAGTAATTTTTTGATGCACATAAGTTTCTTAAATCCCAGGGAAAGAAAATAAGTTTTTACAGATCATTCAGAAATTTAGCACGATAAAACATTCTCACTACATAAAGAAAACAAAGATGAATTTAGCACTTTTTAAGCCACCTGCTGGCAGCCCTTATCTTGTCTTTCTTGCTGACAAATAACATTTAGACATCAGAAGTACCGAAGCACAATATCTAAGATCATTCAACTAGTAATAATGCCATATGGAAACTGTTTTAGAATCTGTTCCCATAAATCCAGTGTCACAAAGGTGTCACACCCCAATCAAGTAGCAAACAGCACAGTTCAACTACATTTTCGAATATAATTTATACCATTCAAAATATATCTTCCCGTCAAACCACAGAATATCAGGGAACCTAGTTATTACTTTAGAAAGACCAAAAACTAGATTCACGTTAAATATGATTTGATGCACCTCAAATCATAACATCATTACTGCAATCAAGCCTAAGCGTTCCATCTTCAGAAACATCTACAGAGTTTCATTTCTATGTGATATGAATGCAGCATGAAGATAAAAGGTTGGAGATCTACACAAACATACACCCTAAAGGAGAAAGAAATGCTCGTGCATAAAGTAGTTGCTCCTGCAGGTACTGGTATTTCACTGGAAAAAGAAGAAATACACTGAATCACAAATGTAAATGTCTGTAGCTGTACTAAATGTCTTCCTTCTCTCAGACTGCAGATTCTATGTTGTTTTACCTGTAGAAAAAGTCTGACTGAAGAATCACATCTCTGCAACCTTTCCTTTTACTGACTCAGATGCTTAGATAATGGGAAAAGAAGTAATACCAGTAAGAGATGTTCCACAATCAGTATGCCACACCTGAATCCCAAGCATATTCTTCGCTATTATCTCCTACATAGTTTTTGTGTAAACATCAGTCCTGACAATAAACAGATTCTCACTACCATCAGGAAGGGAAAGCAAAGTCACCACAAGATGAGACTGAAGTTTTCACTCCTCACTGGATTTGTTATGCTTTCTATATTGAAAAAGTATCTTCCTTTTATGCAGCAAAACTCATGCTTAAATACTCCATTATCAACTGCTGTGTAAAAGCTTTATGGACTAGACAAGCACCTTAAAAGCATCAAATGGGTCATTAAAATATTGTCTTTCTCCCTGGAGAATTATTAAGGTTTCAAATACCCTCCAATTTCTAGTACATCAGATACCATTTAGCAATTGTGGAATAAATTCACAAGTACAGAGGGAATTCTCAAATGTTAAGTTGCTACTCCACTGTAATGCAATGTAACCCATCTGTTTATTTGGTTAACAGTCCATACAAACAGAATTTATTGCAATAAAATGCACAGAAAAAAAACAGGTAAAATCCCATGCAACAACAGCTTCTACCATTAGTTTCAGTATCTTATAAATTTATCTAGAAAAAAAAGCAGTAGAGTTTAAATTACTATGCATCTCTAAAAAATGTAATTATCATTTGAAACGCATGCAATGTATTTAAAAGCACAGAATGCAAAATTCTGGCCACCAAAAAATGCCCTAGCGTAAGTTCCTGCATGACCATATTTCTCACAGAATGTGGATGTTTAAAAAAAAGAAGCTTGAAGTCTACACAAAGTACAAGAAATTCAAATGCCAGAAATAGTGAGTTATAAAGCTTTTCATTTCAGTAGCAATATATACTTCAGCAGTGGTTTCAATTAAAGCTCATAACAGTATGTTATCTCCCAACTATTCTGATGACACTGAAATAATTTTTGTTCAGATAAACAGAAACAGCTTAACGTACCTGTAATTGGAATCTTTGGGTTTTCAGGTAGCCTTCCTGGATCAGCAACTGAGGCTCTTACTAAAGAAGCTATACAAAACAATGAGCAGAGGTAATAACCTGAAAAAATAAGCATTTGTTATTCTTTTTCAGGTAAAAAGCAGGAAAAAGAACACATATTTGAAATAAATGAAAGTGTGATATTAAAATTTCAAAAGGATATGTAAATGAAATTTAAAATATAAGCTTTTTTACATTATAGCGAACAAAATTTTACATATTTAACAAACCACTGTACTTATTAGGTATAAATATTCAACGTACACTATACAAGAAAATATTAAAACAATACTAACCACATAATACTATAAAACTCCAATGGTGTAAAAAAACTGCAGACAGACTATGACAATTTTTTAGTTATATAAAGCAAAACTAATTGATTTTCCAAGATCTAGTAAGCAAAGCCATGGTCCTAATTTAACAAATAGGTGTAACTTCTTCAGTTTTTAGATGAAATTAAAGAAAAAAAAAAAAAATCACGACAAGACACTGTGTTGGTATCCACAAGTTTCATCAAATTACACATCTATTCAGTGAGTCCCTGTCACACGGGCTTACAAAGTCATAATGTCTATAAAAATAGGGACAGCTGTAAATCCTCAAATGTTTAAGAAAACACCAGCATAACTTTACAGACCCATCAAGTTCACTAATTTGCTATGTGCTATTCGTGGATGTTTCAAATCACCCTATTTTGAAACCCCAAAGAAAATTATACTCTACTCGAGAAATACTTGAGCTGTGGGTTGTATAAACACAAGAATTGTCATACTGCACCACCTGCAAAAAAGTCCAGGTAGACCTCTATTCCACATATCACTGGCTAATCACAGGTACCCAGGAAAAGAAATTAAGGAGCTGGCAAGTAAAAACTGATCCTTTGCTTTGCTTCCCAGCTATTAGGAAACAGCACCTTTCTCTAGCTTCCTTCATAAATCCCTTGCCAGAATGATGGTGGATGTATCCTCTAATCTATCTTCCACAAATGCTGGATGTATAAACATAGTAAGACTTGCGAACAAAAAGTTTTATGTCAAGCACTGATGTTAGAAGCAGTAAGCACTTGTATGCCTCTGCAAGGAGCCACATCCTGGCAAAGATTCAAAGCCTCACTGAATTTTTCCAAACTCAATTCCTGCATTTTGATGGCAGGAAGTACTAAACGACGAATTAAAATAAAAACACACCACAGCATGCAGTACCATTATCTCTCACATTAAAGAATACAAATTTAGAATACAAAAGAATACAGCTGCATACAAATTTTAGATTTATTAATTCAAAATAATTCCAAACTTCCATGTTGTTTTTGAATCTACCAAAATACAATTCTACAAATCTTTCTTTCACAGGACCGTTGCAAAAAAAGCAAAGGCATTCCCAAAGAAAATCAAAATTTTGAGTTATATACATGACATTTTTATGCTTGCTTTAACATTCTTCCACCCAGCAAAATAAAGCATCCCCATCTCAGAAACATTATATGGAAAGCAATGACAAAGTTACAGTCACTAGGACACTTACCATGACAGAACTGTTTACGCCAAAAAGAAACATAAAAACAAATCACCATCTAAAAAGATCTGACTGCTACTCACACTGCAACATCTTCATGTTTAAGAAGCTATATGTTAGTTACACTAGAGGGGCAATCCAGCATTTGAAACAGCATTTTCTCAGTTTTGGTCTATAGCAGTAAACAGCCTACTATTCTGAAGTGACAACTGCTTTACACTATAGCAAAAATGTACACGATCCAGTACTAAATTAGAAATTACTCTGCCTTCTGAATTGCAGATATACATTTGATGCTATGCATTCTACAAAGTTAAATAATCTCAAAAAGGAAGAGGAAAAAGTAGCAGAGAACACTGTTCTGATAGTAGCTGCAAGATGTCACTTCAATCTTATTAATTAGTGTCAAGAAGCTCCTCCACTGCCTCATCAAATAAATGCCAATCATTCTAAAATCTTCTGATGAGAGGAACCCAATGGTTGATCTTCACCAAAAAGATGGCTGTAATTATAATACAAGCTTTTACCCAAGTTGATCCTATCAACATAACTCAGCCAACCCATCCATCAAGGGACACTTGGAGTTAGGAGAACTCAATTGTTCAACCATCAGTACTACCATCATACCTGCTGACACGTCCATCAATGTTTTGTAAATACACTATTTAATACAGTTAAAAAGTCTTAGCTGCAAGACTTGAAAGGTGTATAAATGCTTTTCTCTGCTTTCCACAAAGTTTTACTGTAACACCATTGAAAGGAGCAAGAGCACAAAACACAGAACATGTCCCAGTACTCTTACCCTTTATTTTATCCTTCAGTCTTAACTTTCATCTTGTTCTTTACATTCTGGCCTGATAACTGCTGGTCAAATGTACTATTGTTACTAGTAAAAGAAAAGGACTAAGTTAAATAGACTTACACAAAATTGCCACAGCTGAAATATGCCCCTCTTCATAGTGAGGAAAAAGGATGACTTTTGGAATGAAGATTGTATTGTACAGCCAAACAAAGATTATCAGGCCCATGCAGCACCAACCCTGAGGGTCAACCACAAAGTGAATTCGAAGTCCCATTGAACACAAACAAGTAATAATCAATCCATCCAAGAAGAAAAGATGATCCTAGAGAGATAAAAACAAAAATAGCCAAGAAAAAAAAGAGTATATTAAACTAGAATTGTGCTACCTGTGGGGTTTCGCATACATTCAAACAGAGAAAAGAAACCTGACAGTTTATGACTTAAGGAATCTAAACATTTTTTAAAACTCGCATGATAACATCCTCAGAGGATCCCCCGGTGTTTTGTTGTTTCTCACTTCCTAAGTATTCTCCTCCATGTTTTCCTCTCTTTATAACAAAGAAGTTGAGAAAGAAAGCACACCACCTTAACAGCTTTCATACAGATTGTCTAGAAGTATCATGCAACAGTTTTTTCACTATCACTCAGACTTAAAACAGCAAGGCTTCCATTCTCATAGCTTAATATGACTTTTTTTTTTTTTTTAAATTAATTTTAGTCTGAAGAAAATCCATGAATACAAACTTCAGGGCATGATTAACTAGCGCTCGTTTGTTTTTCACTTTCCCTGCACTACAAATCCCTGCACTACTAATCAGGACCTTCAAGAGCAGAATTGTTACTGTTACACTTCTTGTCATCCTGCCTTCATAGCAAGAATCTTAACGTTGTAACACACATTTAAAACGCTGGCTGCACTTTTATCCAAGAGCCTCCCTTTTCGGCATAAGCTTCACTAACCTCTGGGCTATTTGCCCATGCCTGGATGTCCTTCAATTTCTATTTGTTCTGTCAAAATTTCCTATTATTTACTGATCAGACATTACCTCTGTTTTCAGGGATTTTGATAGCTTCATCCTCACTGACATTCACAACTTCTCTGTTTAACACTATCCACAGGTTTCATTAATGCCTTGTTTTAGATAGTTATCTAGAGAAAGAATAAACTCAAACCCAAATAAGATGATGTATCTACAATTTATCATAACCCCTTGATAGCTGTTGCAATAGAACAATGATGTGCTTTACCAAGTACAGCGTTCATTTTTTTAGTGCTCATTTTTGCTTTAAGAATGCATCAAATTTGCTAACAATTGTTTTATAAGCCTGCATGGTATACTAAATACAGCTTACTGTGTCCTTAAAACCTAAAATTAGGTTTTTGAAAATCATTTAGGACATGTAGTCCTATATTTACTGATCTCTTATTAATTTCACTTTGCATGCACAATAATTTGATGTACACACAGTATTCCTAGGGGTATATGTAGACATAAATTATGTGGAATTGTTCTCCTAAATTTGCTAGTTCTTAATATGCCCTTGAGTTAGCTTTGGCAACCAGCAGGTTTAGAACATTTTATGCAAGACTAAGTGTGTGCTGATGGAGAATCTGTCTCATCAAGTACAGGAACCGTGGGAAGAGGCAAGCAGACAATGTGACATCAGTGATGCCAGAAAGGATATTAAGAAGACTTTCTTCAAGACATTGTAATTACACAAGTGTTAACACCCACCTGCACAGAGAAGGTACACAAGTGCTTACCAGCCTGGGAATGAAGATGATCAAGATGACAAAAGCTGGAAGCTTCTGGAGGATGGCTCTTCAGGGCCCTCACAGAAGGTGAGAGCAGGGAACTCACCTGCAATAAGGTCTCCAAGTTGACAGGGCCTGAGTACCGTGGCACTGTAAGCAGGATGGGCCAAAGTGTAACAGCGAGAAATTCACTGCTTCACGTAGAAGCATTCACTCACACAGAGTGAGGGGCCTCTGCTGACCCCAACCTGTGAGCTCACATGGTGTACTGCTTGCCAAGGGCTCAGATATCAAGGACTGCTGTTATTGAGGCCAAAGTCTGGGAGTTAGACTACTATACCCAGATATTCTTCCACACTGGCATCACAGACAGAGCCAGTGGAGACCAGGAAGCATAATCCACATAACAACATTAAGTGAGGAAGTGACGGCCAGAACAGGCAAAAAGCATGCAGGGTGATGTGGATAATAGATCTTATAACTCAGAAAACAGGGCTGAATGGGGAAGATTGCACTCTTTTTCAGGGAAAGCAGTATAACTGGGGGTCCATCTGCAGTGCCTGCACACCACTACAGGTATAAACAAATCAGAGCAATTAGAGGTCTGCATGAAAATGTGGCATTACTTTCTCACTCATATCACAAAGACAAGCTAGAATAGGTTATGGAACCAGAGTGCTGCCATAGATAAACACAGGCACTTTAGGAAGGACACACTGAAACTGTGAAGCAGAAAATTGCCCTTCACATGAGAGGGCATCAGGAGCTCCACCTTGGGGCAAATCCTGAGCCAGACATCCTGAGCTAATGTCAGGCACAGCAAGAAGACCAGTGTGGCTAACACTGTGGAGGCTGTCTACTAAAGATTACCTGGCATAGGATTGATGAAGCAGATGAAGTTTCAACCAGAAAGCTGGGAGAGCTCTTACACTGACAGGTTCCATACCACATGGGCAAATTTAACCATCCTTCTATTTGATGGAAGAGTAAAAAGAGCAGGATTCAAGTAATCCATGTTTTGGGAGTGCACTGACAACAACTTCCTGACATAGAATCCAACTGCCTATTTGCCTAGCTCTGCTAGACTTCTTGCTTACCAACAAAGAAATAGGTGTGAATGAAAAGGTCAGGGGTGGCCTTGGGCTTGACATCCATGAGACGGTGGTACTGATGACTTACTTAAAAGAGGAAAGAAGGAAACAGTGAGATCACAATCCGACTCCAAAACAGACCTTGCCCTGTACCAGGACCTGCTTGGAAGAACTCCTTGTAAGACTATCACCTAGAGAAGAGCTCAGGTTCAAGGACCACTTCCAAGCTCAAGAATGGTCCAGCACCATGCACAGGAGCCTAACCAACAGTGGCAGGAGAACTTCACACATGTACAAGGACGTCCTAACAGAACTAAGACATAAAAATGAAACATTGATGCGGGGGCAGCATAAACTGGTGGCCCATGAAGAATACAGAAAAATGTCATTTGAACGAACAGGGCTGGGGTTAGGAAAGTCATACGAAGCTGAATCTGGTATTGAATCTAGTGAGAAATAAAGTCAACAAGGAACTCCAGAGGCAGGCAAGTAGCATTAGGAAGGTTAGGGTAAATACGGGCCTGCTGCTAAATGGAACAGAATACTTGATGAAAGGGCACAGAAAAGGTCAAACTGCCTTCTTGAACTCAATCTCCATGAGTAAGACCTGCTTTCTGGAATTCCAGGCCCCTGAGACCAGTGAGAAAGTAAAGAGCCACAGAGACTTACTCACCGTGAGGGATGAACAGATAAAGAAACCTCTAAACAAGCTGAATGTACTAAATTTCATGGCACCTGGTGAGATGCAACAGAGGAGGCATTACGTTTTGGAGAGACCTATCTATATCCAATAAAACTACAACAGATACAAACAGCACATTAACATTATTTAATACAATTTCTCAGCTACAAAACACATTTATTCAACAGAGGCACTACCACTAGCTTTGTACTTTTTCCAGCAATGAACAAGAGCTTGTACGTCACGTCTGTAAAATTCTGTACCAGCCAAGGTGACCCATTGCCACACTGTGCTACATCCACTGTTTGGTCTCCACAAACATTCAGTAAGCGTCAGTGAACATTAGTGGGTGCCATTTTTTTCTCATGAAGGAAATCAGTTCGGTATTTTTGCTTCACTCACACTTCCATGTCAGATGCCACCCTGTCAGATTGCCCCTCAGCAGCCATCTGTCACACAGCAGCAACATGTACTGGAATATTGTAGGGAAGATTCAACCTTGCCAATCTTTTTTGGGGGCCAGCATGGTCTGGTTCCATGACTAATGGGGCAGGGAGGACAAATGGATTCCCGCCCCAAGAGGAAGGGGGTGGGCAGGGAAAAGGTATGGAGATGGGCCTAGAAACAAAATAGTGGAAATGAGCTAAACAAATACAATATCGGAATGCAATATATCACAGTACAATACAATATAATTGCAATTGAAGCTAATAAATCAAATACAGAGAGAGAGTGTCCAAAACTGAAGGCTCTACTCTAGTGCTGAAGGTGAAATGGCTAGGGAGCACACAATGCAGTAATGAGAAGAAAAATAAAGGGCAGACTCTTGAGTTGTGAGCAGTTTTATCTTTCCCTCTGAATGGAAAATAGAAACAGAACAGTGAAAGTCTCCTGGGATACGCAGTTGTTTGTCTCTTCTGAGAATCACCACACAGAGCTACCAACAATCCACGGACCTACAGGATGTCATGGTGTGGAATACCGATAGCAAAAAAATCATAAAACCCTGACAATCTCTACTGCCATACCACCAAAGTCCACTTCTGACATCATGGGCCAACATAATAAAATAGGAGGCATTACTTTTGGAGCAGCCTTTGGACAGGCACTGAAGGCAGCTAGTCCATGTCATTGTGAGGACATTCACATTCATCACTGAAAGGTTGAGCTCATGGGAGAGAGTCCTGAGGACTAAGAAATGCAAGTGACATTTTCATTTCCTAAGAGCAAGGAAACTACAGGTATATTATGCTCCTTCTGAGCCCAGGAAGGTCCAGCTTACATTCCTGGAAACTGTTTCAAAACACAGGAAACAAACTGACTGGTAGTAGTTAAGATGGATTTATAAAGAAGAAGTCACGTAGAACATATTTCAAAGAACCTAGAAAAACTGCTTAATGCTTGGGAACCCATTTGGTTTCTGTCATCCTAGAATAGTACATATTCCAAGACCTGCATCCTCAGAAAAGGAAATAACAGCTCAAGAAACAAAACAGATCTACAAGAATTAAAATATTTGCTTGTAAGTGGATATACTTTTATCTAAGCATAATGTGTGAGCAGTAACTAGAGAGGAACACTTTGGAAAAAAACAGTAAACCCTAAAATGGAAATTTATCCCAAATTCTTACTACTCAATGACTACCTGCTATATTATTTAATTTCATAATAAATGAAGTCAAACCAATGACAAAACTTACCTTTGATGACAAGTTTCACGAATTTGGAACTATGCAAAAGAAAGATCCATTCTCAAGACGAGCATAGAAACCAGGAAATTTTTCATCATCCAGCTCTGGAACTTCTTTTCTGTTGCTTCTGAAATACAGAAAAGAGTGTGATACTCAAATGATCTTCATCCCAGTATCCTACCTCACTGAACAGAGCTTCCTTTCAAGCTATTTACACAGATACACAGCTCCTTAGCTTCTCACATCTGAACTGTTACACTGGTGCTAAATTTATTTCTTCTAATTTCAGTTCTAGAACATTTCAAAATTTTAACACACATTTTAGATGGGATTGTTCAGGTAAGGTTCAATAGAAAACTGCAGTACTACACCCTAGTACTCCCTGTACGTGTAACAGGCAATGTCTTTTATAACAATAAATCTGTTGTCCTTTATACTTCTGGCAGTGACACTGCACAGATAATGTTAACATGATGACTTCTAGCAAAGTTTGCTTGTCTCCCTCCTTCTGTTTGTTTGTGTATCTCATACAGGTTAGAATGGGGGAAAATATTAAAACACAAACAGAAACACGTTCCAGTGACTAGGTAGAAAACACTAGATTTGAATTTAACTCATAGGCAAAGTGAATTTGTAGTCTTCGCTTTTAAAATATACTCTTAAAAAAAAAAAAAGTCTGTATTCATTCTTTCAAAAAAAAACCTATACCAAAACACAGGAAGATCAATCCCACATAATTCAGTTAGTTCCTTAGTATGTATCATTTCTTATAAGAAGAATTACTGTATGTTCAGGATAGAAGTTTACGAGACAAGTTACAACAAAACCACTGAAAAAGAAAAACCCAAATGATTTATGTCTACACACCAGTACTCATATGTGCAATGCCTAGAACTTTTCCAACAAAATAAGTCGGGATAAAACCCATGTGCCCAAGGCTTTGCATTTTTTTCCTATCTTAACAGAATTTATAACAACCTATTCTAAATAAACATTTCAAACACAAAGCATCTGAAAGGAAATGGCACCCGTGGCTGTGAAAAAATCTGTTTTGGTTAAAAAGATGGCTGACTCCTTCCTATGTGATCAAAAATTATTCTTTAACTTCCAAAAAATACATTTATTATGAAATGCATAAAGATGCATAAAGAGCATTTTCTTAACCCACTTCCTTCTCCCCAGTTCAGTTTACATTGTCATAAACAGTATTTGCTCAGTACAATAACCTTCAGTATGAACTCTGACTTGACATCTGCAGAATAATGAGCCCATAACCTAAAACAGGAAGGCAGAATGTCATTTCCAAAAACAGAAAAATCTTCACACAAAACAGAATTGAAGTAACAGACTTGCTTGAATGCAAGATTCACATACACACACACAAAAAATCCTTCTACATCCGTATGGAAACTAAGACTTGCAAAATCTCACCTCCCCAAAACTTTTCTCCAAAAATGCTCCAACAAATGTTTACATGGATTAATGTTTCTTGGCATGGTTACTTTGAAGTACAATTTATAGAACTCACACAAACTGAGCAAGGGTATGTTCTATAAAGTACATATTTAGGGGAGGAAAAGCACCACTTCCTGAAGAGTATTTTCTAATGCTTCATATATATTTCTTCATATATTTCTTCTGTAAATAGGAACAGGAAGTAGAAACTTACACTTGTAGAATCACCATGGTTGGAAAAGACCGACAAGATCTTCCAGTCCAACCATCCACCCATCAGCAATAGTTCCCAATAAGCCATGTCTCTCAACACACACCTAAACATTCCTTGAACACCTCCAGGGTCGGTGACTCCACTGCTCCCCTGAGCAGACCATTCCAGTGCTTAACCTCTCTTTCAGAGGAGACCTTTTTCCTAACATGCAGCTTCCAGCCAGCCAGAATCTCCCCTAGCACAACTTGAGGCCATTCCCTCTAGTACTATTGCCAATTATACAGAAGAGGCTGACCCCCAGCTCACTACAACCTCCCTTCAGGTAAATGTAGAGAGCAGTAAGGTCACCCCTGAGCCCCCTCTTCTCCAAACTGAACAATCCCAGCTCCCTCAACCACATCTTACAAGGCCTGTGCTCCAGACCCCTCACCACCTTCATTGCTACATATGCTATACATTCCATGTGTGGTAGCAAAAGCAAGGGTGCAGCAATCAATAGGCTCTGCCTATTGTGGCTTCACCTGTGGTTTGGCATCTAAAACTTTCCTGAAGTCTTCTGCACTTGGCTGAAGAGCTACTGCCTAAAGCAGCTATTACAAAACTAAAACTACGCTTTACCAGGAGAAAAAAAAAAAAAAAAGAAAGAAAAAAAAAGTGGACTTAAAGCAAATGACTGAATCACTTTTCAGGTACACTTTTAAGCCATTTTAGTGAAGAGGTGTGTCAGACAAGAAATAGCATTGCTTTTCACAGGTCTTCAGCTTAACGAAAACAGCATCTGAACAGCCAATACACGCAGTAGTGTATTTCTGCCACTGCCAAACCCCACGCAGCCAGCATTCCGCACGGATACAACAGCTGGCTTTTAAGACCTCGTTATGATGCAGTTAGCAGGCAGGTAGCCATGACACTCCCGGTTATTCTGTTGCAGACACAGCTCGAGAGGTGTTTCTGTGAACACCGCCCGCGCCCACGAAAGGACTGCCGAGCACCACCAGGGTTCGCGCTGCCAGCACGCACTCACCGCACCCTCACATCACCAACACGAGAGGTGTCTTAGCCTGGCGCTGACCAAAGGTAGCACACACTACTTCAGCAGAACCTCAGTCTGAAGACCTGCAATTTGCTAACCAACAGAGATAAAAAATGAAAGCGTCTAAACGAAGCAGTCTAAAGGCACTGCGTTTCCCGCCCCTGCGTCCCGCAGCAACCCACCGTCTCTCCCGCCGGACCCCTCGCCCCCCTCCCTGCCCTGGGCACGAGGCGGAACCAACCGTAGGGCGAGACCGGGAGGAAGAAGGGAGGGGCCACGGTCACGCTCCCCCCTCTCCCCTGCTCTCCATAGCAACCGCCGGGGGCCAGCTCGGCCGCTCCCACGCTCCCGAACGGCGGCCGCCGGAGCAGCGAGCCGGGAGCGCCACCTTCCGCTTCCGCGCGCCCGGCCGCGCATGCGCGCGGGTGGCTGTGGGTCCGCCTAGGGCGTGCGCGTTCCGCGGGTCTGGCTTCGTTCCTGTTCGAGGCGGCTGTTGAGTGTGGCCGCAGAAGCAATTTTTTTGTTGTTGTTTTTAGCAATCAGTTCTGCCCGGAGGGCAATTAGCAATAGCTCAGAGCTGCAGACAGCTTGTAATGGAAGGTGATTTCGGTGCTCCCATCTGGGGACTCACGCCTGGAGCACCCATCGCTGATCTCCTGGCAACCTCAGGGCAGCCCCATCTGCTGAGTGGCCTGGTTCCCTCTGGAAGCTGTTGGATCTTGCCCTGCTGTGCTTTTCTTGCACAGAAATGGGTGAAGAGTAGTGTGGTGGTCATCACTAATACTGAAAGCTTTTCCTTAGTACTGACAGGTTCTTCCAAAAGCTATATATTATCTTGAAAAAAGAGCACCCAACATCTAAAGTCAGTTGGTATTTGGGCAGGTTTCAAGCATTCATCCCTAGAGCCATTCAAGGCCAGGCTGGATGTGGCTCTGGGCAGCCTGGTCTGATGGTTGGCGACCCTGCACATAGCAGGGGGTTGAAAGTAGATGATGATTGTGGTCCTTTTCAACCCAGGCCATTCTGTGGTTCATTCCATGATTCATTACAATTTTGGCCCTTGTCCTAATTCATTTCTTTCAGTATCCACTTTCTTGTGCCTTAGAAGACAATTGTTAACATTTCAAGCCAAAGTTGCTCCAACCAGAAAATACACACTCATAGCGGAAACTGGTCTGGAAAGTGAACTAAGCATGCCTAGTATGTCAGAATCACAGAATCGTAGGGGTTGGAAGGGATCTCCAGAGATCATCGAGACCAACCACCTGCCAAAGCAGGTTCCCTACACCAGGTCACACAAGTAGGTGTCCAGGCGGGTCTTAAATATCTGTAGAGAAGGAGACTCCACAACCCCCCTGGGCAGCCTGTTCCAGTGCTCCGTCACCCTCACCATAAAGAAGTTCTTGCGCGTATTTGTGCGGAACTTCCTATGCTCCAGTTTTCCCCCTTGTCCTGTCTCCACACACTGCTGAAAACAGTCTGGCCCCCCCGCTCTGCCCCCCCCCCCCCCCCGCCTTAGATATTTATAGACCTGGATCAGGTCCCCTCTCAGTCTTCTTTTCTCAAGGCTGAACAGACCCAGTTCACTCAGCCTTTCCTCATAGCAGAGATGCTCCAGGCCCTTCACCATCTTTGTGGCCCTCCGCTGGACTCTTTCCAAGAGATCCCTGTCTTTTTTGTACTGGGGAGCCCAGAACTGGACGCAGTACTCCAGATGAGGTCTTACCAGGGCAGAGTAGAGGAGGAGGATCACCTCCCTCGACCTGCTGGCCACGCTCTTTTTAATGCACCCCAGGATGCCATTGGCCTTTTTGGCCACAAGGGCACACTGCTGGCTCATGGCCAACCTGTTGTCCACCAGGACACCCAGGTCTCTCTCCGCAGAGCTCCTCTCCAGCAGCTCACCCCCCAACCTGTACTGGTGCATGCAATTATTCCTCCCCAGATGCAAGACTCTACACTTCGTTTTGTTGAACCTCATCTTGTTTTTTTCTGCCCAGCTCTCCAGCCTGTCCAGGTCTCGCTGAATGGCAGCACAGCCTTCAGGTATGTCAGCTTCGTATCATGAGCAAACTTGCTGAGGGTGGCCACTATCCCCTCATCAAGGTCATTGATGAAGATGCTGAACAAGACTGGACCCAGCACTGACCCCTGAGGAACACGGCTAGTTACAGGTCTCCAACCAGAGTCTGCACCGCCAATGACAACCCTCTGTGCTCAGGGAATGGGGCTACCTCAGGAGCTGCTATCTACGTATGGCTGCAGGAGCAAGTCACTGAAAACAGGGTGATGAGTTGGAACGGTGAAAACGTAGGTAACAGAATCACTGGAAAAGTCATTGTAACAAAAAAAAAAAAAAAAAAATTAGCCTCCATTCCATTACACATTGTGCATGCAAATTTATATGTGAAAGGCATAATGTGTGGTTTTGTGAAAACACTTCACCTTTTGAAGACTAAATACAGATGGGAAAAAATCAAGATAGGGGAGTAAGGACTTGGGAAATACAGTGGAAGAAATAAATAAAGAGGGGAAGTATGACAGATGAAATTTTCCTGTGGAATGAAAAATAAATAATGTCCTCATCTAGTCAGATGCCAGCTGTCATGGCATACTGATACTGGCCAGTCATTGGATCTATAGTCTTATCAGACTGATTGTATTTTACTCTTTTCTACTCCTGGATTTTCATAGTAAACAGGTTGTGGAATAAAGGCAGTAGTCTGCTCAAGTTCAGTAGTGAGAACATCTGTTTCCATTTGTTTGTATTTCTGCTACAGGAAGAAAAGCAAGCAATCATGTGCTTGGTGTACCAATTTAACTTAAAGACTCAAACACAGAAATTACATGACACTTTTACCAGAGTAGCAAATGCAGATAATTTGATTTTGGACTCTGTGATAGATAATAATGAGTCTTTATAGTAAACTCTATTCTGAAGAAAAGAACTCACCTAGGTGAAATACTATCTGCATAGTACGGACTTTACATAAAGTGGATGTATTACACAGAGACTAATAAAAGTCTGCAAAATTAGAAAAATACCCATATTCTTCGGTGCTAAATATTGCACAATAGTAGAGAATCCCTCTTGGAGTCTTCTGATGTCTGTGTTGTGTTGTTGTTGCTGTTTATAAATTACCACACGACCCACCAGCTGTCATCATAAAAATTTTACTGGCACTCTGTGAACATTAAATCAGCATGCTAAAATCAAGCCATGTGTGGTAACAGCTGATGCTCTGTTACGGAGCACACATGCAGGAGAGAAGTGTGCACCATGACTCCCTGGATTCCTACTGCTTACAAGTCCCTTGCTTCATAAGACTGTGTTTCAGGATTCATTTTGTGCCCAGTTGTGCCCTTTGATCGAAGTGCAGAAGGTTGTCTGTATCTCGTGGGCTGAGAAATTCACTTTCTCAATAGTACCTGCTTTCCTGGATCCTTCTAAGTTGTGCAGTTTGTTACTGCCACTTCTTTTCTTTGGCACTGCTTACTTCAGTGTAAATCTTGCTAACATGTACACAAGGCTCTTGTTAGCTTTTGAATCAGAGTCAAATTCTTTCTGTCATTGAAGGACCACATTTCTGATACATAACAGCAGTCTGCATTAATGACATGCTACAGTGAAATGAGATCAGTCCTGATCTTGGCTCAGAAGTTTTGTCAGCCCTAATGTCACATCCTGAGGATGAATCATTAGTCAGTTTAAAGGAAAATTGCTCTTGGACTCCATTTACTCTCTCTCTCTTTGACCTAATTACCAGAGAAATCAAAGGCATGATACACTTGTGATCCATCTGCCTCAGTGGTAAACATGGTGAAATCTACTGATTTCAACCAGCCCAGAGAGGGTACATGGGGGCTATAGTAGAAGTAGACCAAGCAGCACTCTGATTTAGTCCACAAGCACAAGGAGCTCTTCCGCCAACGTGTCCTGCTGTAGAGGTTTGGGCATTAGCTCTTTTAACTTCTCCCTCTCTCCAGGGTTTACTGCTGGAAGTCCAGGCAGGATGACGGGATGGTCAAATGCCTCTCTATTAATGTGAGTTTGAACCAGCTTCAAAAGTATGTAAAAGGCTGGTAATAGTAAAACCCTAAACCAACAAAATAAAAATGCCTCAGATTTTTTTTTCCTTCTTTTTTTTTTAATTAATTGTAAATTTGGATCCATTTTTCATTATTTGAATTGAAATGCATTTTGCTGGTACCATGGAACATGAAGCTCTGTAAACAGGATGACTTTGTTCTCAGCAGGGAAATTTGGCAATATTCTTGCAGTGGGCTAAGTACAAACTTGCTTATCTTGTCCCCATTCTTTCTCATTTGAGCAAAGTAAGTGCTGACAGCTGCCAGGGTGAGCCTTCAAGGGAGGAGGAGATGGTAGCTTCCTACCAGATATTCAAGGAGTTAGCAAATATCTGCAAAATATCAAATGTAAATTATTTGTAATTCACTATCAGTGTATGTTTGCTGTTCCCACTGGCAAAGTCTCAAAATGCAGATCTGCTGATGGAGGGCCCCAGATATTCTCAACCCTACTCCACTTCCCTTGCACCCGTGCACCCTCCTTCACAGCACACGTGCCCAATTCCCCCACACAATGTGATTATGCGCTTATACAGACTGGCAAGGGGCTCTCCCAAAGAGCAAGGAATCTCATTGTCTTGCTATTGCTGTAAGGAGGTAGGAAGTTTGGGAGATGAGATTTCACCACCTGTCAATAAAACATGCTAAAGCTTGTTAACTGACAGCCATGATGTTAGCTGTGAATATTTCATAAGCGTGGTGGACAAAGTACCAAGCGTAAAGTACTGAGGGCAGCTTCTGAGATGGTTTCCTGGAAATTATGGTGGGGTGAAATTCATTAAGAGCTACCCTCTGGTGTTTGATGTAATTACAGGCATTAATGCCAGTCTGATGAAATCCTTACTCAGGAGAATAGTGTATAGCAAAGATACACTTCCCTCAGGCAGTAGGAATAAACAGTGCCTTTCCTCAGTTATTTCCAAGGTAAAGAACATAACTCTGAATGTGTTTGGAAAATGTCTGAATGTGTCTGGTAGCTCAAATAAATAGCAAAAATGCGGAAGCTCAGACAGTTTAATAACAGTTTAATAAACTTGCTCTGTGAAGTTGGTTTGCAATAGAAACACTTCCACCGTAATCAATTGCAGTGGGAAAAACATTCATTACATGAAGCATAGAGCTTCTGAATGGATGCAGCTAGACAGAAGTCATGCAGGCTTACTGCTTACTTACAGGCTTACTACAGGATGAACCCATATATTGATAAGGGCGTAGACCCTCACCTTTCTAACCCACATCATTATACTAGCAGAGGCCTTCGTAGCTGTGCTGAGAGAACAAAATCCTGTTAGCCTCTAGGCACAGGTTACTCCTAATAAGAAATTTTAGAGTCTGAGAACCAATTAACACATTCTTGATTTTGCAGGATGCCGTGCTAATTACATGCGACCAGTCATTGCTGGGTTAATTAAACATTCATCCAAAAAAACTACAGCACTAATCTAATTAGCAATTACTACAGCTGTCATTACCTCTTTTCACCTACTTTAAAGCTGTGCAAATTCACACTAAGCATCCAGTCCAGCAGACCCCTTACATGAATAGATTTCTTTGATTACAATAATCATCAGCATACAGAAAGAGCTTTAAAAACTGGATTGAATGCTTTACAGTCCAAAATACAACCTCAGCTCTGCCATTTTTATGTGGAAAAGTCACAGTTTAGGAGTAAGCCATTGTCAAAATTATGAGACTGAAGGATTTTTCATTTTAATTGTCTTGTGATCTTATTGGAAGTATAGGTCCTACCTTCAAATGGTTCTCTCGAAGAAGAAAATGCAAACAAAGATTCCTATATATCCATGCAGCTTTAAAACATCAGAAATAGAAAACTCTGAAAATTTAATTCTTAGGGTTAAATAACAGACTTAGGAATAAAGATAGAAAAAAAAATTAGGAACTTTGTTTTTTTGTGTGTGTTTAGGCTTTATTAAAATTGAATGTTAGTAATCACAACTCAGAATGTTTGATAAGGTACCTCGCAGTGAGACAGTGGACTCTTAGCTTTTCCACTTGCATACAGCATTCTTTAACAAAGCACCAGTTTTTGGGGTTGGCTATGCATTTGGATGTGCCCAGTAAGGAGAAATTGCTACTGTAAAAGATTGCATTACTTGTTCAGAACTACTTTGTTCTCTAAAGCTGTGTGGTTTCTAGCTGATACTGCCTTTTAGAAAAACATTTTTTCTTTGTTCATAACCTTTGCTTACTCATCCTCCTTTCAGTCTAAAGTGATAGCCCATTTTTGAATCTGGGTGCTAGTTCACTTCATCAGCTGGCATCCTGAGAATATTGATCAATATAATAAAGATAGAACAAATGTTAAAATAGGTTAAAATAAATATTTACTATGTATAATGCATCTGATACAGGGATCACAAAACACTAACAGCTTGTTATTTGAAATGACATTATATATCATACCATAACATACAGAGACATAAAAGTTTCACTTGTTAGTCCTCAGTGCAAAAGGACAGACAGAAAGCTTTTCTCAGTTTTAACATTGCAATTTTTATTATTTAAAAACAGTTTTCTTTATATTTAAAAATACCTGCATACTATTGTTCAGTTCACTGTCTGCAAGTAGTGTGCAAGCAGCTATTGCAGCAGTCCAGACTCTGTACCAGGTTATCACTCAGATGCTCTTTTCTATAAAAATTAAACATGGGCCTTGCATTATGAAGCCATTATGGTGAACATATGTTTTTGACAGGTTATTATGACACTTCTGATCACTGTGCAGTCCATTTACAAAGGGATCATTTACCTTGAATTGACCAGCTGTATCAATACTTATTTCCAATACCCAAAGAAAAAGGTGCAGATAGTTCCATAACAGGAACAAAAGTCTGATAGTTTGGCAATAGCACTTGAATAATATTCCCAGCAGATTACAGGACCTGGATTATACACAGGATAAAGTCTGGTTTCTGAAAGGTGATCCATGTCTGATATGTTAGGGCTGCAAGGCAAACCCAGAGAGAAGCAACTGGAAAGCGAGCAGTCAGCTAACAGCCTCTGGTGCTGTGCTGGCAAGGACTGGAATCAGACCTTTCCCAATAAAAAGCTTTCTAAAATTATTTTGCTGTTTTTCTATCACAGATACGCATCTTCTTTAACTGTTGAGAACATGACTTAAACTTATCTTGCTGTCATTGTCAACCTTGGAATTCATCAGACAGAAAATGTTTGTCGCCTTTCTAAAGTGAACTCAAATAACAGTAATAACTATCCATTAATTTCTGGTGTTTAATATGGAAGTAGACCTGCTTTTTTTCCTCCTTCTACTATGTTAAACTTTCAATAAAAATAAATGCAGAACAACTGCAGATTTATAAAAGGAGAGTAAATAGTTTTTATGGCTAAACACCATTTGCAACCATTATCTTAAGTGTGTAAGCTGTCAGGTATGTTGATTTTACTGGAAAGTGAACTCCAGCTGGGAACAATCAGAGGAATTCGTCACAGCTTTCTTTCTGCCTTCTGTCCATTTATATTTTAAATTCTCCAGTCACTCTCATGATATAAAAGCAAATCTGTTTTTGCAGTGAAGGGTCTAAAGCCTTCTCTGTGTTACCGATAGAACAACACTGGCGTTCTCAGCAAGTCAACGCAGCATAAACTATCTAGTACTTTAGGTTTTTGCAGAAATAAACCACATTAGTTCTTCAGCTCTTGTCTCTTAGTGTGCTAAGATGTTAGGTATAGGAAGGATGGAAAACTTTTTAAGATTTATCTTGCTAAAATAAGGCTGTACCCATAAACCACATAATCTTGAGCAAGGAAATATTTGTTAAATTTTAAATAAAGTTGTTGTTGAAGCAGAGATGCAGTTTAAACAGAAAGTCTATGTCTTGAATATTATGGTGTAACTGTATGATGGAAGTTTTGTCTCACTGATTATTTTTTTCTTTTCTTTTCTTGGCAAATCCTTATAATCTGGGATTTCAGAGTTACCTTGAATGGGTTAATTGTGCTCAGGTACGTTTCCAAGAAAATCTGACTGTAGAGATTTAGGCAGAGGATCTTCTGTCTTCTGAGTCTCACAGTTACACTCTTCCACAATCATGACTTTTTTAACCACTGGGACAGAACTGGTACAGTTGAGATCCAAGTGCTTCATGGAAAACTTGGTGGGTAGGCATTTAGAACAAAAGGTGTAAAGGTGATCCTCTGGACCAGGTACATGAAAGGAACTACACTTGCCAAAACATAGATTATTCTGGATGATCACCTTCTCACAGTTCTCATGAGCAATATGCTGAAACAGAAAGCAGAATGAAATTCACAATAGTAGCAGTGATACATAAATCGAAGATAGTACTGAATCTTTCTCAGGGGCTAATGTTGCATATTCTGAAGTGGCCCTGTGTCTTAGCAAACAAACTAACCCACGTGTCTTAGATTGCTGATTATAAGAGGCAGGAGAGAAGACACCTGTTCTTACCTGGGAAAAAGGCAGGGTTCTGCAGGTTTCTTGGTGCATTTCATTGGTCTTGATTGGCAGAACAACCTCTTCAGAAGCTGAATTCTTCTTTAACATGAAATGGTCCCAGAATTTTTTGGCATCTTTCCTATAGGGAGGTTCAACCTCCCTCTTACTGGAGTAGTAGGATGGAGAGAAGTTTTCCACAGGAGAGATCTCTCTGGGTGCTGCCCAGTTTCTCAGATCTTGGTGTGCATAGAGTTCTGCATTAGGAAGGATGAATCTGGACATTTTTTTCTCCCCTTGCTTTTGACTGTCTCCCGCTGTCTGTGGAAATGCTATAAAAAAGCTTGGCTCTTCCTGGGTTTCCTTTACACCTACTGGGTTTTCCCCCACCAACTCATGAAAACTCTGGCTTTCAAGTAGATTTCTGTCCAAATAGAAAAGGCGCTGAAGTGGCCTTCTTTTCCTCTGCTGTGAATCTGACTGTGGCTCTGTGGCTCCAAGACACAGGAGCACTAGCAGCTGAAGGTGAAGCAGTGACATGATCCTGTTAATGCTATAGACCTGCTAAGGTGGCAGAGAGCACTGCGTGCTAGCTTTATACAGGAGCCTGTTGTCTGCTTGGGTTTGTGTGCTGAGAGGAGGGGACAGCTCAGAGGAGACCCTTGTGCAGTTAATTGCATTAATTTACTGAAGATTACAATTACGATAGTGGAGTTTGTGCTAATGAAATTGTTTTCAATCTGTATAATGTGTATTAGAAGTTCCTATCTAAAATCTAGTAGCCCAGGATGGCGTGGGAGACAGAGAGAATCAACAGGAGGAAATGTTTGGATAAGCCGTCTGGCTGAGGCCTAGGAATTACAGAAGCATTTGAGGTTGTGTATTAGCATGTTCAGTGTGGTCTGCATTGTTTATTTTGACTTTCCATTCCACAAAGCTAGAGACTGTCAAAACAGGGAGGATTATTTCATCGCTACAGGAAAAGGCAAACTGACTAATGCTTTCTAAAATATGAAGCTAGATGTAGAGATGTCAATCAGCTTGTGTTTTCAAAAGCTGCTTCTAATTTTGTTCTTTAGGATTTGGAATATGATTCAAGGCCTGCATCAGCACTGCTGCAAACTGGCAGATTTGTGCTTGCTCACCCAGAGGAACCCGGCAGAGAGCACTAACCCTAGATTGACCTCTTCTGCAGGAGTTTGGCAGATAGTGGAGTGCAGAAATACCACCAAATCAGAATAAGTTCCTGTTTTAGAAGCAGCACTCTAGATTCTCAAAAATAACACTTCTACTCCCTGTTCAGTCACCTCATTGAAGGCATACAGTAAAGTTGGCAAACAAAATGAGGATTTAAGTGAAATACTTTAGGAATTATTTTATTATTCTAGACTTGCATGTCTCACGTATATAACAACTATCAAACCTAAACTGAAGGCCACGTTTTTATAACTTATGCTTAACATCTTGTGTGAAAAAGGAGATATGTTAGTACAGCATGCTAAGGGAAGTGCTGGGAAAAAGATACTTTCCATAAACTTCTCAAACATTGTTCTCAATCCAAAAACACTAAAAAAATTCAGATAGCTTGCACTTTCAGTACTCTATTCTCTACAGATTCCATTTTCTAATGGAAAGTCAATTTCAGTAGGCTCTTTTAAGTTTGTAGCTAATTCATTCATTAATTTGAAAACTGAGCTAGTCTGTACCAGATTTATGAAATAATATGAGTGTGAGCCTATTTGTGCTTTGAACTCAGTGGAATGATCGTACTGGCTGTCAGCCACATATGTTATTGCCCTGTAGCTTCTGCCCAGGGAAATTTAATTCTGCCTTGGGTTTGGTGCCCTCCTGAAATCTCAGGTGTGCCCTGGGATGCAAGATTCTTACACAGCTGTTAAAAGTGAAATTGTAGGAAATTTTGGCACTGCAGCAAGACTACCTGTGAAGCATGCCTCCAAAATGTCCTTGCATCATATCTATATAAGCATGTACGGTATAAGAGAGTAAAAGCAGTGAGTCAGGAAGAACAATGAACTGTACAAATGATTGTAGATAGTTAATTAAGTAGCCTAAAATTGCAGTTTGAATCCTCACATCCTATTTTCATTGCCCAACAGGTCTAGCTGATATAAATGACGTTTGGGTCTAAAATTCCTCATATTTGGTACAGGTTGGTAGTAGTCCAGTATTATTCAAGGAATCACAGAATCGTAGAATGGCTTGGTTTGGAAAGGACCAAATCCCTTGCCACGAGCAGGGTTTACATTATCTTTGGACACTTTGTCTTTTTTTTCTTATAGTATTGTAGTTGCTAGAACATTACAAGACAGAGACGATACTGGAACTTGTGTATTGTATTATACTGACACAGAAGGGGTTGACATGTCTGTTAATGTCTTTAATGTTAATGTCTCTCATGGATTTTATTGTTTAAAACAATACATATCAGTTTTTAGCTCTTTGCTTCATAATTTAGAAGTAGAAAACTCAGTAAAACAGTTTAAATATTATTGCTTCTGGATTATAGCAATATGAAAAAGCAGTTATTTCTGTTTACTCTTAAGCTGTTTTTCACTTCCTTTGCCAGAAGTGTCTTTTTACCAAATCTGATCAAGTGGTGTACCAGCTCTCTATTTGAAAAGTCCACCTGTGATCTTGACCCTGTAATGCCTGTACTAAATTTTATCTATATACGCAAAACTTCACTAAGCATATAAACATATGTTTACAGATATGATCACAAAGTGCCCAAAGGGCCCAATTTAAAACTCCTTTTCAAAACTTTCTGAAAAACAATCCCATCAACTTCAAGGTAAAAGAGAGCAGACTTCTCAGTTCTTGGTGAAATTTTAACCTGATCTACCTGGAAGAAAAGGCATACATATAAGGTGTGTTTTATTATGTGGTTGAGGCATGGCATAGAGTTTCTGCCAGAAGCTTCTCTTTGTGGCATGAATATGAGTGAAATGATTTTATTACTGTAGCATATGGATGGTTCTTCCTAGCTCTTTGCAAAGAATAAACCAGGTTGCAAGCAACAAATATGGTGCAAATAATATAAGGATTTTACTGCCAACAATTGGATAAAAATTAAAATGATGATACTGGAATGAGTGTTCCAGACAGGTGTATCTGAAGTTAAATGGTGTGGATTACTGGTGCAGTGCAAACGTTAACAAGGAATGCATAATAACTTAGTAAGATGCATATCACAGAATCATAGAACCACAGAATCATAGGGGCTTGAAGGGACTTGTGGAGATCATTGAGTCCAACCCACTGTTAAAGCAGGTTCCCTGCAGTAGGTCACACAGGAAAGCATCCGGTTGGATTTTGAGTATCTCAAGAGGAGACACTACAACCTCTGGGCGACCTGTTCCAGTGCTCTGCCACCCTCAAGGTGAAGAGGATTTTTGTCATGTTTTTATGGAACTTACTGTGTTCCAGTTTGTACCCCTTACCACTTGTTGTGTTGCTGGGCACCATCAAAAAAGACCTGGCCCCATTCACTTGATTCCTGCCCACTAGATGTTTATAAGCATTGATAAGATTGCCTCTCAGTCTTCTGCAGGCTGAACAGCCCAGGCCTCTCAGCCTTTCCTCGTACAGAACATGCTCCAGGCTCCTACTCATCTTTGTGGCCTTCTACTGGACTCTCTTTACAAGTTACCTGTGTTTCTTGAACTGAGGAGCCCAGAACTGGGCACAGTACTCCAGATGTGGCCTCACCAGTGCAGAATAGAATGGGGGGATCACCTCCCTTGACCTGCTAGTCGTGCTTATTTTAACACACCCAAGAATTCTTGGTTGACCTTCTCACCCAAAAGGGCACACTTCTGGATTAGGAGTATATGTTTAGATGTTGCTTCTGCTGTGCTGTTCTATCCTATATCCTGCATCGTATAACAAGAAAGATGGCTCAAGAAAAATAATGCCAACAAATCACTCTGCAACCAATAATCAGAAAATAGAGCTCTGATCTCCTCTAGGTTAAGCCAGCTCTTTAGTTTTCTTCTTTACCTAATGATCTTCTTGGAGCCAAAAGCTGTGTGCCAGCTCTAGTTCCACTAGGGCCAGTACTCCGTACCAAGCTGTAGATATTTTTCAAAGGACAAATTTGGGACAAAATGGGTCCTAATACATCAGGGTGCAGTTTGTTCTATATCTGCACAAAGACTAAAGCTGCTTTGGAGTCAGCTGTGTGCACACCCATGCAGGTAGTAGGATCTGTCCTCAGCATCTCCATTCCTGCATGAGTCTGCTTGCACTATGGGAGGGCATTCCAGCTCAGAAAGCGAGTTAGGACAATCACTCTGAAGTTAAAAATAGCGAGTATTTATATGTCTGTTTGTGATGATATCAACTGCATAGAATAATAACTGACAACAATCTGAACTGGGCACATTATCATTATATCCACATACTGCTAATCTCAGATTTCTATGAAAAGCAACCCTTTTTGCATAAAGTATCCTTTATAAAAACTTGTTTTCCTGCCTGATTACCCTTTCATGTAAGCATAGGCACATGTTTTCACTGTGTTTTGGTTGCTGAAACTTGTGGCTAAATGGAGCAGTGTCTTTCAAGCAGGCTTTGATTTGTCTTCGTAGTCACATTTCATTCAGGACATTCTGCTTTCACTAGAAATAGTCACCATGAATGTTTGCCCATTTTTTAAAACACTGTCAGGCCTATAGATGATAAGTGCCATGCAAATGCAAAGTGGCATTATTCATTTGTTTCAGAGCTGGAGTTTATTCAGTCATTATGGACATAAACTGAGTAATTAGTTGCACTGCCAGTTGATGCCTAAAAATAATTCTTAGGCAGGGTTTGAATTACTTGCCTTCTGTTGAGCTAAATAATCTCATCATAGCGTGATTGATGATTAAATCATTAAAATGGATTTTATATTTTATAGTTCAGTATCCTATCATTTTAGAAACACATTCTATGCAGACAAACTTGTATCCAGATATATCTTTTACAGAGCCCATACGAAGACCTCAGAACTAATGAATTAGCACTATGCGGTTTACTCTCCAATTATTGCACTTATCAAAGAAAGCCATCTGTGGTCTTTGTTTTACTGAATTTCAGGGAAACAGATCACATACAGGCCTCGCGGGGAAGTTACAATTACGAAACCAAAAGGCTTTTATGAGATAAAATATGAAAGAACAGACAATAAATCTGTTTAATTTTGTACGTTCAACCTGGGTACTATACATTATGAACTTCACCTTTTCACTATTCAAAGTCCTCCGTTATGCTATTTCTTTCTTCCCTGATTTTATACCTTTCCATTCACATTTTCCATTTTCCATGCTACACAAACAGAGCTAGAATCCAAGTTTAAAACCGTCGCTACAATTTAGATGCAAAATGTTGTTTGTCTCCAGCAGAGCTGGGTTAAATTTGTTTTTTTATGTGCTGACTCATTGCTCCAGCAGAAATGGACAGTTCTAATTCTTAACCTGGAAGATTTGGGGCAGGTACCCACTTCTGAAGCACTTCCTGAATCATACCGGTACATGCCT